AGAGAACAGGGTTGAGCTAATTCTGAATCCTTCTGGCACGCAGGATCGAACGCGGGGAACTTCAACTTGAAGTTGCGTTAGCATACCCGAGTTGCGCAGGTGTCATCTTCGTCTTGGCGCTGTTGGGATAGTTGGGGTATTGCCTGGGTATATATTATTCGTACGAGTCGTCTTACAACCTTCGGTAACAGGGAGCCGCTCCTCGCGGAAGAAGATCTGCATCAAACTGCGGACGGAGAGTGAGTGTCTCCACATTCAAAAAACTAAGCAAGTGCAAAAGGCCAACGACCGCACTTCCGTACAGCAAAGTAGAACTACCTTGGACTGTGAGTGTAGCCATCGTCGGGTCAAAGCGGGCGAGATGTGTTGGGACTAGGAGACCGCCGTTTGGTTGAAACATTTTAAAATGATGTTGTCACGGACATTGGGCAAACAAAAACATTGTCAATTCCTCAACCATTTCGCAATATGATATTTGAACATGGTTTTGCATTTACTCAGAACCATACACATACAGGCCGTAAAACCGCACAGTAAAGTAATCTAGGCCCCACTGGTGTGCACGATGTGAAACGGACACCTGCCGATTTGACCCAAATGATGACGGAAGGACGTGCGAACCGCAAGCGGCCGAGCGCGAAGTGGACTATGTGTTGAGATTTGCCATGCAATGGCACTACTGATAGCATCCGGCCGAATTGCAGCGAGTTTGAGCATCGAGATCAACGGAAGGACACGGCCTTGCGGAATTACAGAGTGTCTTGCAGAGTTGCAAAGAGTATTGCATGATTGCAGAAGGTCTCAGGGAACTGATCCAATCGTGTGGAGAGCACTGGATGGCGTATTGAGGGGCTTGACGTCTATTGCGGACTATGTAGACCTTGCAATTCATTTGACCAAGTGTTTTGAGGACATCCTTTTGTTTGACACTATCACTGAAACATACTGTACTATTTCACTCACACGAGGGGCAAGGACCCAGGCACATGGTTTCATGTGCCTTAAACGCACATCCCTCGCGCATGCTCTGTAGATGGAGTACACAAAGAAAACAAATATTTGTTCCCTTTTGTTTTACTTTGTTCACTCGATCTCCAGCGCATGTGTGGACAAAGGTGCATTTAACACTGGTTGAACATTTCGAGTTTTTCAGTGAAACAATCGGTGAAAAATCCTTTGACGGTTACAGCAACTTTCTCAGGAAAAATCAACTGAAAAACTTCAAACTTCCTTGTGGATTTTTTGAACTTCAAGAAAATTTCATCAAGTTTTCAAGAGATCTCCACAAAGATTCGGAAAACTCACCAGAAAGTTACAAGTTTCTCACTTGAGTTTTGCTGGAAAGAGGAGTGCAAACTTGGAAACATAGTTTCTTCGCCGAAAAACTTGAAATGTTCAACCACACTCCTGGGGTTGATGGATGTTTGGGCCCAAAACATGGGGTCCAAACATGTGTTCTGTTTAGCACAATTTTTTGAACCTGTTCAAAAATAAGCTGCACATAGCTGATTTTTAGATCCCCTTTGACTCCGAAATTCCAACAACGTTCAAGCCAGTAAACCTGCCGAAACACGCAAGATGTTTGCGGTCAGTTTGGCCAGGAAAAACTCTCTGGTTTGGGGCACAAACATGCGAAATCTCATTGTTCTTGCACTGTTTTGAGTTCAAACAGTTTGATATTTGGTTACAGAAGATTTACAGAACATATCAGATTTTCTGTGAGCATTTGGTTGCGAAAAATGATGGATGTTTGCTGTTCGAGTGGGTGCCCAAACATGGTTTATTTCTGGTTCACATTTGGCTTGGACACAAACAGTTAACCAAAAAGAAAACATGTTTGGAGCCGATGTTTTGGTCCCAAACAGCCATCAGCCCCGGGAGTGCCAGTGTAAGGCGCATGAAAATCATGTGCCTGGGTTTTTGCCTCCCGTTTCGGTTCTCCCGGGATGTGACGTGTGACCCGAAAATTCAAACTTGAAACGAGTACAAGGGATCTGAATAAGATTGGAACACAAATATACAGCTCCAATTTAGCGTTTTGAAAGAGGAGGAGGAGGAGGAGGAGGATGTATTACTGCCAAGGTCCCTATCAGGAACAAGCAGGTATTGTACCGACATACACATGGCACCTAATATGTATGCTACAATCGTCAACGGCCCTATCGCTGAGGAAGCCTAGGCACCGATAGCACCTACACACCGCACAACAGAACTGATGAAGACGGAACAAAAAGTATCACGGTTGCCTGAAAAACCACCGGAGAGTACCAAGGGAGGTCTCTTGGAACAGCGCTAGCACGGCGTCGGTGTAATTCGACGTCCCCGCCATGACCTACACAGTCGCAAGTCACGAGAACGTTGCGATACTGTGAGAGCACTGAAGTTGTTCAACACCCAGCCTGTGGTATTGTGGTCTCCGAGTAGAGGTTAAGCAGTTAGGGCTTTGCAGCGCGCCGATATTACCGTAGTGGGATAGCGCTGGAGATGACGAGTAGCGAGTGCCACGGTGCGGTCTTTGCCCGCCCATTATAACTCGAGTCCGCCAAAGGCTATCCCCAGTCGGCGTCTGCGTGTCGGCATTTACCCTTTCCGTGAATGGAGTGCCAGCAAGGAGTGATAATTCAGTCCGAGGAGCGGGCAGAGGAAGGAGTGTTGCATGTTGTTGAGGTGGTCCTTTATCAATACCTTATCAGTGTCCAGGGAGAGTTCATACCCGGATACAAGATAGCAGTTGAAACTTGACACGCGCACATGTACATCTAGCTCTTGGCAGGAAGCGTCGAATCCGTGTTTTAGTCCCAGTAGCTGCGCTACTTGTACCCCTGGTCTTGGACATAACGGCGTCATGACGGACAAAAATCTTTAGATGAATCAAAGTGAACTTGATGCCTGCGTATTTGAACTCATAGCTTGGATCGGAATGCGGGTAAGACCGTGAGGTTGTCGTCCGCCAGTCAGCCTAAGGGAAAGGGGACCACATCTGAACGGCCGTGCTTCATGACAACCGGAAGTCCGTGAAAGACATAATCCACGAAGCTGGCGACGCCCGGTTCCTGGTGGACAGCCCGCTGAGGAAACCAAAGGACAGTGAATGTCACTGAGTGTATGTCCTCAAATTTGACGGCCTCAGCGTACAGCATGCACATTTGGTCGGATCGCGCCACGTACATGTCCGACTCATGCGCCCGTATACGGCCCGGGTAAAGCGGTCGTCATGTCCCCAAAAACCACATACCAGGTCTTCCTTTGCCGTGCGCATTCGTGTGATCCTTCGGCGCCCGAGTTCGCACCATCGGCCCTCCCAGTGTGATAACTTCCTGCAAGGCACACTAGCTGGTACCTCTCTGGGTCTCTGCTTCAAGATCCCGGTCACCAGCCACTCATTGGTGCGCGGAAGAATGGAGCACAGCTTTGTTTGAGCTCGTGAGGGCGGCGACTTTCGGAAGTTTTGAGGTGCATCGAGTCTCGAGTACTATCGGCTCCGACTCGCCGAGTCGCCGAATGGGGTCGTACTTGAAGCCTTGAAGGGTCACGCATTTGGTCCAATAGCAGCAGGTCATACAGTGTCATCGCATTGCGAAGACCATCGAGTATCGGAGGTGGTCAAGAGGCAAAGACGGGATTTGCTGACGTCTGATGTACTCACGGCATCTCGGAATCAACGGTCCGAGGATCTGTCCTAGACTCCTAGTCAGGGGTACTCAATACTCGTTCCGCGATTCGTGCTCAATTGAAGAAAGGGGCCCCTTTGTTCACTGCCCGAAACAACCCGAAGCCTACGGGTGACGACCAAATTCGCCGTTCGAGTCCGCACAAAGAGCAAGGAAGACGGCCTATGGCTCGTACTCTCGTTCTGGCATTCTTATGTTCCAGTTCTCAGGCGTTGTGCTGCAATCCGAGGTGCAAGATCTCCCCTTTCGTTGCAAGCAGTGACGGGCAATCTCTGGGCCTTTGTACGGTGCGATGCACCAAATGGAATGGCCTCCCCAGTGCTGAGTTCACTGTCCAACTATCTTGAGCGTGTGCTCAGCGTCGGCAGTCTTCTCTTTTGTGCACATGGTGGTCGGTTACGGCGTGTGGCGCTGAGAGTAGCACAGTTTTTTCAACCAAAAGGCACTGTGTGGGCGGGGGAAACAATTGTTCCAATTTTCAATGATTTCATCACTTCTTTCGCATATTCGAAAATGCTCTTGCGATCCGTGACACGTGAGGTATGAATCAAGTGAAATAGTACAGTACTGTATCGATCTGTAGGGGAGCAACGGTCACGGTAACGGACCGCTGGTTGCGTTGCTTCCGTCACGGTAATGGCGGGACTGGTTGCCTGAAAAAATCGTGACAATGTTGAAAGAAAAGTAAGAGAATAATTTGTGGTTCAAGGTAGGTCGGAACAGCCGTGAAACCGCGTTGTAGGCCTCAGCAACACCGGATACGCACTGAAAATCATCGGTTTTCAACTATAAAACTGTTGTTCCGTTGCCTTTACAAGCAACGGTCACGCTCACGGTGCCCTCCGTTGCCTGAAAAAGAGGCAACGGGTTCGTCACGGTCGCTGGGCCGTTGCTCCCCTACAGATTGATACAGTAGATACAACTGATACATTGTTGGAATCCTCAACACCATGCATGCATATTCACTGGTCAGGACACGAGAGAAGCTCAGAAGCGATTCCGCACTCCGGACCCACAGAGCTCAGCCGAGTCACTAGCCAGATTATGAGGGGAAGTTCGCAGAATCCAGAAGTGTTCTCGTTGTCCATCTATGAAGACACTCGAAATTCTATGGGACTATTCGTGTGTTCCAGGGAAACGGTTGCATGGGGTAGAGGTTATCCCTCCAGATTTTGACTGTCTTTGTCATTAGTGTCTTCTGGCGACCCCGGTTCGATCCCGGGTGCGACCTTATTCATTGGGCCTAATTCATTGGGCCTACATTTTTCCACCTATCCCGGGGAACAAATCGTACGTGTACTGTATCCCGATGGTTGAAATTCCCGCATTGGCTGCATGGTGTAATGGTTAGCACTTCAGATTCTGACAACTTCCGTGTTCTGGTAACCCCGGTTCGATTCGATTCCGGGTGCGGCCTGGCGTTTTAGTTGAACATTCCTCTCTGCACCAGGCTCTTTTCATCTGAGCCGCTTGTTTTTCGATCTCCGCAGCCTCTCACTTGCGTACCGCCACCTCCCTTCTTCTTAGACTTGAACAAAAAGAAGACATCATCGCCATCGGAGTGTTTAACTCGTCGGAGAAATCCTGAACAGCCTGTCTTCGCTTCCGACCCCGCCCTTGAGCTCGCTAGAGAATTGGCGACGTTCAACAAATACGACGACGATCAAATCATCAGTCCTGCCCTCATGGTTGTCTATGGTTGTGAATCATTGTTTCGCGGAAATGACCATGCGCTGCGGGGTTTGAAGCTGTTTGAATACAAATTTTCCTTCTTGACGTGGTCAGCTGGACACTTACAATTGGTGCATTCCGGACCTCAGATTAACGGCGCCCCGGTGTACACCGGCGGCCTTGATCGGGAATGTCTCAGAGTGATCGGAGGGAGATGCCGCACTGAAATGATGCGGCATGGCGTCGGCCAGTGATTTAAATAAAGGTGTTAAACTCGCTGTGATTTAGCTGTAAGTTGAGGACTGCACACATTTTGTTCTTAGGTAGTAGGCAGCGATTATTTCGCGCCAAAACAACCAGTTGGAAAGCACTTAATCATTGCACACAGTACCCCTATCTGTTGTGCTTTGTACCAATGAGACACAGGAAACAATATTCCTTTGCTTATATTTTATTGCCAGTGACATAAGCTTCAAGGTCTTTTGAAGGAGTTCCATTCCAAGTGGCTCAGGATGAAAGACCAAAACCTGAAAATAATATGGATGAACAAACTTGGCGATAGCTGAGTATAAAGGCCATGTAACATCACTCTGTGCTACTATTTAACTAAAATCGTTTACAATTGGACCTGGATCTCCCTGGATCCATGGAGGACTCGGATTCTCCTTGATACTAGCTGCCAGTGTGCGCTCTTTCGTTTTCGAATTTCCTCAACGCCTGCACCGAAACTCCCAGTTAAATGTTACAAGAACGCGGGGTTCAGCAATTCAAGGCGAAGCAAAGGTCCGGTTTTGTCCACCTTTCATCTCCACTGCGGTACCGGGTTCGAGGAGGACAAAAGCGGGGATAATCACGTGCCGTCTATTTAATGCCGTGACGGCGTCTATTGTAACTCCGACCTCTGACAGCGATCCTCATCCACTCCCCGAACGCATGCATCTCCCCACACTCACATTGCCGTGGTTGCTATATAGCTCGCAACGTTCGCTTGACGTACCGCAGATCCCGTCTCGGTGAGCAATCCATCGACACACATGCTCGTCGACTTTGCGCTCATTTTGCTGGGCTGTGCGGCCAGTGGTGTCAGGTATTCCTCTGCCAGTGTGTAGCCTTCAATTTTGCCCTTCATAGACCCGCTTATCCTGGTACAGCTCAAGTCTACAACACTTTCGACGGCGATGGCTTCCCGGCCTGCAATGCCGTAGCCCAAGTTTATGAGCCGACGTCAGTGGACGAGATTGTCACGCTTGTTAAGAATGCCAGCGCGCAGGGCATCCCCGTGCGTGCCAGTGGGGTGAGTCGTGTTCAGTCTCCCGTGGTTGCCGAATGCTCATAAACCAGAATGCGCATATGTGGTGTCAGTCTCTACCAAAATTCCGCCAGTCTACTTATTGCATGATATTCAGACGATACCATGTGTTCCGACGACCCACGCACCATCATCATAAGAACCGACAATGTCAACGGAATTTACGATTTGGAATTGAACAATGGTGTCGGCAGCGTCATCGTCGAAGCTGGGGTTACTTTCCCTCAAGTGTGCGTCAATCCGCTCTTCTGCGATCCAGTCAACTCAATTTCTGTTTCTGCAGGGCGCAATGGCTTCAGGATCGGGGTGCCGCTCTCGGATTTACCCTTGGTACTTCTTCAGCATGTAACATTGAGTTTCGCTAACGTGTTCGCAGTCAACTGGAACATCACACTCGGTCGGTTCTTTCCCACATCCCTTAGACTCACACTCACCTTGTTTCAGGTGGCGCAATTGCTATGGGTGCTCACCGTTCTTCCCTCCGCGAAGACTCTCAGGTGTCCGCTGCCGCCCTTGAGATGGATATTATCAACGGACAAGGCGAGCTTGTTCATCTCGTGAAAGACGACAGCGACACCTGGCTCGCTGCAACGACCTCCCTTGGGCTCCTCGGTGTCATCGCCCGCATTAAACTTTCCATCCTCGCCGACTATAAGGTTTGGGCCAACCAGACGACCCTCGACGAGGACGATGTCCTGAATGGCGATATCTTTGCTCAAATCTCTCCGTATGTTACGGCGAACTACTGGGTACGTGGACGCTCCTCTTTCACCCACCTTTCCTGATATGGTTCCCTCTTCAGTGGTGGCCAAGTACGTTCGACTGAGGTGTAGCATTTCTGCTAATGATCCTGACAGGTGTCAAGAAGTTTCATCTCCGCACTTACGGTGTCCTTCCCGTGAATGCATCTGGGAATGCCTTCCAGGTCAGCACTTCCCATATCTGGATACATTTTTCCTACCATGGTATTCACAGTCAACTTTCTCCGTCACTTCCCTCGAGGGAAACCTTGCCCTTTCTCTCCTCAACAATGGCCAAAACTCCAGTACCGCAAACTTCTTCTCGGCTGACACCTTCTACGCGATCTGGTCCGCGCCCAACTTCCACGGTGCGTTCACCCCCAGTGCGAATATATACTAAAACTCCAACTCAAATGACTTCAGAGACGGTGTTGAACCTTCCTCTGCTTTCGTGGCCGGTCGTCGGCCACGCCTACGACGTCTTGATTGGAGGTCTATATCCGAATGAACTCCCGGAGTGGGACTACGGTTTGCACGGGAAGACGCTCGAATTCGCCGTCCCCATCCCCCAGGCAAATGCGCTCCTCAAGCGCGTGCGAGAACTGTTCGATCAGTCAGCGGCCGATGGTATGGCCGTTACCAGTACTTATCGCAGGTGCGCTGCGTCATTTGTTACATTACTGAAGTTCAACTGATAAATGGCTCAGTGGAATCAACATCAAGGTGTGGAGGGAGGACTCCTACCGCATTCAGGGTTGCTGATCATTACCCGCAGTTTGGGAAACCCTTCGACAGCTTCCTCGGCCAGACCACCCAACGTGTAGGGAATATCACTGGAGACTGGTCTAAAGGCGCGATGATGTTCGATTTCCCCTCTTTCGTTCCCACCATCGGCGACCACCACCGCTATAACGAGGCCTGGTAACGTTTCTGTACACTCCTCTCTCGTCGACCATCTCGCTCATCTCCATTTGTAGGTATGCTACCCTGGCTACAACGCTCATTAACGAGGTATGCAGCCCTTTTTGACTTGACGAAAACGAGTGACATGTAACCTATCGATGCATAGTTCCCTATCCGTCCACACTGGACCAAGAATACGCGCACCATCTTCTCTGAGGCTCTCAAGAACCTCGACCAGGATGTTCGTACATCCTCCCATACCTTCTTGGGAGATTTTCGATTGTTAATTTCATCCAGAGCTTAAACCGTTTCGCGGCAGTACGCGCGCAGTTCGACCCGAACAACACGTTCCGGAGCATCGTTGGGGAGATTATTGGGGTTTCACCGGCTTAAAATGTCCTCACGTTCGAACATCTACCAAGCCTACACGTACATTCCACGTAAGTTAAAATATTACATGAATTCCATCCACGACTGGACTTCGGCAGAATTTAAAAGAGACTGATGAGGTCTGAGGTGAGTCTGAGCGCATGTTACACATAAAGTCTGTTTTCCCCGCTTTCGACACAGTAATTATAATTCGCTGGTGTGGTGTCACTGCGTTCCGCTAAGCCTTAGACTCAATCAGTCTAGGTAATAGGTGCGGGTCTTCGTAGCTCAGTATAGGTTTGTGTAGCTGAGCGTAGGTCATATTCCTAGGGACTCACGCTTAGCTAGAAGCACCTAGACAACAGTGTAGGCTGAGTTCAGTTGATCTCGGAACGCAGTGCGTCTCTTGCGAGGCAAATCGTTTAAAGCATTTGTTTACTGTTAGTTGAACCCAAACTAAACCTAATAAAACCCTTTTAACCACTTAAAACCGTTGATAAACCAAGACCCTTGGAGTCTTAAACACGGGTTCATATGGAAACTCTGGTAGAAATCCGATTCGAATGGGAGGGTACTGTACTATTTCGACCAAGTGTTCATCAATTTCGGAATTTTCGAAGTCCGGGATGCCCGATAAAATTTCTTTTGAAATAAGGTGATTTTTGCACATTTCAAAATCTGAGTGTCACGCATCGCTGAACACTTGGAAGAAATACAGTACTGATACTTAAGTCATTTGGCTAGTGCGTTGCACATATCGGCCATCATTAGGCAACGGCCATATTTTTTGCCCTGATTAGGAAGTGTTGAGCTCCTACACCGCCAATCGAGTCCAGTGTTGACCAAACATCGCGAGACAGATGTTTCGTCAATGTGGGTCCCAACATTGAGGATATACTCAGTGAACCTTCCACAAATGTTTGGAGTGAAATGTTGAGAAGCCGTAATCTCAAGGCTCAGAGAATGCCGTGTGGACGTCGAATGTACGTTATTTCTAATATTGGTTCAACATCTACACGTTCGATGGGCGCAACCCTCAGGCACCTTTATGTTCTTTGCTTGTGCAGTCCAACTGGACAACTCATACGATAGAGTATCGATCCATTTGTGAGGCAAGTCGCTGTCGAAAACTTAATTATAGAGCCCTCAAGAATTTCTTCTTCTCTCGATCCAACCCGAAGCTGAATTTTACTGGTCAATTCAGATTTCTGAAAGAACATTTGCTGTGGCCGAGAAGTGTTAGAGTCTGAGGTGTCCATTGTTCTACAAAAAGATCGAATCAGAGGTCCGTGCGCATCAGTCCATGCGCATCAGCCCAAACAAGGCCAATGTTGGCACAAATCTCCACCCTTTTCTCTTGCCCTTCTCTCATCCCCCGCCCTCATCGCCGTTCGCCCTCCCAACGATGCAGCCATCGGGCCAGAG